CAACACAATCATCAAAAAACAAAGTAAATCAATTAAAGTGGTGCAGAAACAAGAAAACAAATCTCAAATCTGCTCCTTATTTAAAAAAGGCTTCAAACAAACAACTTCAACAATCTCCATACTTAAAAAAATAAACAATTATATTCCCCAGGTTTGAGCTAAAATAACGTGCTGAAAGTAGATTTATTAAAGCTGCAACATACCAGAATGGTCAGTAACAAATTTTTTATTTTTTCTCCGCAGGTGATGGTGTCATGGCCGCCGTGTTTACCACATTACCCTCCTAGAATTCCTGATCATCCCGACTTAATAAAACCCAAACACTTGGAGGAGCCGGCAGGACGCTGAGCACACAAAGTGCGGGGAGGATGACGACCTCCCATCTGAACGGCCACGTTGCCGGGGAGGGAGGAGGAGGAGGGCGAGGAGGAGATGAAGAACTGAGGGGAGGACAGCAGCACCGGGAGATGGCCATCGACTGTCCCGGAGACCTCGGGAGTCGAACGCTGCCGGTGCGACGCTCTGCACAGCTGGAGAGGATACGACAACGACAGGTCTGTCGAAACGACAAAACGTCATGAAGCTTTTTTTCTTTTGAGTTTTTCCTTGAAAGAAGATAAACTTTTAATCCGTAGTTTTTGCTACATAACTTACAACTTTGTCTCAGAAAAACTGGTTTGTAATATCTTCAACTCTTTAAGTCGGAAAACCTTTTTTTTTTTTTGAACATGCTTAAAATTCAAGAGCGAACGCTTCAATTCAGGTGTAAATTAAGAACGCTCGCGGGCGTTTAGAGCCAAAGTTTAGGTCTGCTTAACTCGAAAAACTGACAATAACATCTAAACTTGAACTTTTAGATTTTAAAGCAGCTCATTTTTTTAACGTATTTCTGCTTTTTCAGTTTTGATTTAAAGTTTTCACCCATGAAACCAGAAAACTCTGTCCTGTTTTTGATTAATTTATTTCTCCGTTCATGTTTTAGGAGGATCTTCGGCGACGCAAGGAGGAGGAGGGTCGGCAGCTGGATCTGAACGCCTCCCTCAGACTCAGGAAACTCTCCCAGAATCCCAGCGTCGGGATCGACAACCCCACATTCCTCCAGGACTCGCACATACCGCAGCAGCTGGCGCTCGGCAGCCAACACGCTCATCCACTGCTGGGTAAAACACACAAAAACCCTTCGATAAAACGAGGGATATGAGAGAGGGAGAGAGAGAAATGTGTCCTGTCAGGAAGGGAATTCTTCAGGGAGGGAGAGCGGCACACGAGAGGCTCAAGAGGGCGACTTAATTAAAACTCTGTTTGTTGGGTGGCATAAACTCTCACACACACAGGTCTGGTTTTTATATCCCTGTGGGGACCATGCATTAGCTTCCATTTATTTTTTGGAAATTTTATATCCTAACCCTGACCATTTACCCTAAAATTAACCTCACATGTACCTACCAGACCCTAAAACTAACCTAAACCTAATTCACACCTTGGTCCTAAACCAAACCTCACACCTGCAATTTGCATTTGGACCCATGGGGACCGGGCATTGGTCCCCACGTGGCTGCTTTTTCAGAAAAATTGTCCCCACGATGTAGGAAAAACAAGGCCATACTGTGTTTTTCTATCCTTGTGGGGACTTTCCATTAACTTCCATTCTTTTTTTTTTTTTGGTAATTTTATATCCTAACCCTGACAATTTACCCGAAATTTAACCTCACAGGTACAAACCTGACCCTAAAACTAAACTAAACTCAATTCATACCTTGGTCCTAAAACCAACCCCCACCCAAAATCAGCCTCCGAAGTCATGGGGACTGGGCTTTGGTCCCCACAAGGAGCATCCGGTCCCCACGAGGTTACATTTTCCTGAAAAATTGTCCCCACCAAGTAGCAAAAACATGGGCGCGCGCACACACACACACACACACACACACACACACACACACACACACACACA